CTACTTGTTCATTGTCAGACTTGAACCTAGGGAGTCTCAGGAGTTCAACCAGCCCGGGGTTTCAGTCTATGCGATCAAACCATGGACCCCATGACCCTTAAGTCATTGATTGAGGTTGAGGGCAAAGCGACAGTTACAGGCCTGTCAGATGTGGCTTGCTCTTTTTAGATATTGACTCTATGTCACATGTCGCAGAATTATGGTCATGCCACGGTCGTGCCATGGTCAGCTCAGCTTGTCAGGGATGGCCACGACGCCAACCGGAATCTCCATGAAGCGTCGGATCGGATTCCTCTCAAAGTTTGCCATGAGGTATCTAGCCATGTGTCTGAACCAGTTGGACCCCCTCCAAACGGTTTTGCTTCATTGCGCTTTCCTTTTCAGATGCTTCTACCATAGGCTCCTTTTAGCTTTAAAGGAGAACTGCGTGCGTGCGTGCGTGCGTGCGTGCGTGCGTGCGTGCGTGCGTGCGTGCGTGCGTGCGTGCGTGCGTGCGTGCGTGCGTGCGTGCGTGCGTGCGTGCGTGCGTGCGTGCGTGCGTGCGTGCGTGCGTGCGTGCGTGCGGAAAGGGACGCTGCTCGTTTTGTGGGGCAGGTTACCTCCTTTTCTGACAAACATGAACCACCGTAGGTGCCTGGCCCAGGGAACCGATGCAGAGCCAGGGATTTTTCCGCCATGTGCATCGAACCCCTTCAACAAGTTCGGTGGTTTGGGGGTGCGACTCCAGCGGGCCCGACATGTGTGTTGAATCGGATTCAAGCAGGGGGCCAGACCATCTCAAGCAGTTTGACTGTGAGACATAGTTTGGACCTTCCGCGATGAGGGAGCCCCCTTTTTAGAGGATCTTTAGGCCCGTTTTGGAGGATCTTCACACGTCAATCTAGACGCAGCACTCGCAGTTGTTTGGCCAAATAGCAATGACCTCACAAAGGTTTCGGGCCACACGCATCTCGCACGAGGCCGGGTGATCTCCCGCACCGGCGAAGCCAAGTTCCAGGCAGGTCAACGTCAACTTGCGAGACATGGCCCCGTTCAGGGGAGACGCACTTGTTTGTGAACTCTAGGGGGGAAGACTCTCGCAAATGGTTGCTGGACATGAATCCCCACCTAAATGATGTGCACCAAATGAGAGACTCGGGTTTGCGATGTTTGAAGCAGGGCTATGGACCTGTCTCAAAATATGGAGCCCCCGAACGAAAAGGAAACCAACCACTTGAATGGGTCCCCAAGTTGCGAAACATGCAACACGGGTGCTAAATTGGGGGGGGGGGGTATAAAAAACATATTTGCGGCCCGGCATTGTGCTATGTAGCACCTAGCATACAGTCGGGGGCACCGCTCTGTGGGGTTGCGTTAAAGGGAAATCAAAGAGATATTGTTGCTCCTATTTTGGGGGATGTTGCGAAACCACATAGGGGACCCCAAAAATGGTGGTTGCTTCAATTCTCTGGGTATGGTTTTTTATTTGGAAACCCTTTGGTGGCGTCCTTTAGTATAGGTGGGAATTTATGTTCACTTTGAGAGGGTCTTCCCCTCGCGTCTCCTCTTAAGCCAACCTGCAAGTGCCCACCAAGGGTTAACCTCCGAGCACCGCACCGTATAGGTCTATGGGTCCCTTAAGGAATTTCTCCAGGTACTCGTACACTCGGTGCTATGCATATGAGGGTTGTTTGCCCTGCAGCCGCAGAGATGAAAGTTTGAATTGGGGACAGTGCCCTTGAAGCAGCGGATATCAAGAAGCCCTTTTGGTTCTGCCCATGTTGGGTGGAGTTCTACACCAGGCTGGATTTGGCTCACTTGGTTGGAACTCCTTCTGGTTGGCCAACGGGAAACGGTGAGAACGTCCATTGAAACAGAGGGGTCACCCCAAAAAGTCAATTGGCCGCACATGTCCGCCTACGCGCCATACTCCATTCTGGATTTTTTGGTATAGGATCGCGATGCTCATCCAGTTTTCGATGCTTGTCAGTTTGTCAGTTTCAGGTTGCCCTTTCCTCAATGACCGAAAGGCAACCCGGGACTGTCTTCAAAAGATGTAATCCATTCTCGTGGTGAAAAGGGTTACCCCACGCGTCGTTTCCAGAAGCAAAATCAATATCCTGTGATCTTGGTTGCCATGTTGGGCACTTCCTCTGTTTCATTTTTGGGTTCTGGGATGGAGGACGTAGGCTAGCATACCAAGAAAGTGTTGCACTCTTCAAATCGTTACTGGGCAGGCCTTCTTGCGGTGTCACGGAAGTGTGCAATCCCCACAACCCTGCTCAGGTTCCTTGAAGTTTTCAAAACGGTGGGATCAGAAGTTATGTGGGTGTGCCTCACAAAGGAACAACCCGAACATTCTTTGTTTATTGAACGAACCACAATAGGGGCATCCCGAGGGTGCCGCCCAAAACCGTACCAACTCCAACAAGCCGCACGCCTAGATGCCTCAGGTGAACAACGTCTCCATGTCCCAGGCAGACTACCTGAAGCGGCTGGAAGGCATCAACATCTTGTCGAAGGCGGACCGATGCGCATCGAGCCAGTGGGGGGGGGTGTTTGGCTGGGAATGGGTCGCACTGGTTCCAGATTGGTTCTACTCCTTCGTGGAAGTCATCGGATTTCCAAAAGGACAGGCGCACATGCCCCTGGGTGTGTCTCATTTGGATTTGGCTTCAGACGGAGAACCTCCAAATGGGTGGCTTCCCTCGTCCTAGCATCGGTTTTCCGCCGACATGGATTGGACAAACTCAATCAGGTTCGTTTCTTGGGTTCTACCACGGTTCAGGTCGTTTCTTGGGGTTCTACTTCACGCATGCTGCTAGTTGTTCTGCAATTTTAGGATACCCCCCTGCCCATTTGTCGTTGCTTTCTGCATTGATTTGGGTGTCTTGGTTTGAACGTACCATATTTTGGGGCTAAAGGGAAACCACGGATAAACCGCTCACTTTGGTTGTTCAGTCGAGGTGACCGCCTTGTTGACAAAGCCGCATCTCGACGGCATGATGCTGGCCGCGTGCATGTTGCTTCTTCTTCTTCTTCTTCTGCTTCCTTTTTGCCAGCTTCTTCTTTTTCTTCTTCTTCTTCTTCTTCTTCTTCTTGTGGTGGTGTGGTGGTCGTCGGCGTTGCTTCTTCTTCCTAGTTTGGTTGTTGCTGCTGCCGCCGCTTCTGGGAGCGCTGCTGCCTGCTGCTGCCTTGCTGTTTGCTTCTTGCTGCTGTGGTGCTGTGGTGCTGTTCGAAGTCTTGACCGTTTGATTGCTTGGATGTTGACCACACATTCGGATGCCCATAGAGGGGATGTGCGTGCATCGCACATCTTGTCTGACATGGATCGCTGAACTTGCAGCGCCTGGGACGTTGCAGGATGTTACGTCTGCGCTGCGTGCGTGTTGCCTTATGCATTTGGATACAATCTGCCTCAACCAGTGAATGGTCTTGATTTGTTTGCGTCTGACTTGCTGGGATTACCCAGGCATAACTTTACGGTGCTTAATAATGTATGTTGTGACCCTTTGGATGATATATTATTTCCATCGATTCGTTCCCTTTTTGCCTGCTCTCAGTTGATTTTATCCTGTTTGCGATTGAAAGCCCCAAAAAGTAACTACTAGTCCTTTATCCGGATTAAAACTTCCAAACAACACCGGGGTTCATGATGTTCCACCTTCTGCGGAGGGTGGACAATCAGGCCTTTCCTTTCGACCCACCTTTTTGGTTGCAAATGCTCGATCCTCCATCTTTGTGTGTGTCCCCCAATCAAGGAGCATGGTCAAGAGCCCAACCCTGACTACCCTCTCCCACAAACATAGAACCTCAAGCAAGTCCCTGGAAGACAAGTTTCTTTCAAGAAAGTGGGCTTTTCAAACCACATCTTTTGGTGTTCCGGAAAAAAGAAGAAGAGAAAAAACACGGAAAAAAAAACAACAAGAAAACCAAAAAAAACGTTTGGTTCTCAAAAAGACTTCTGATAACGCTTGGTCCTCAAAAAGACTTCTGATGACCACCCTTTTGCGACCAAACAAGAACACAAAGACAAACACCATGGTTCAAGCATCCCATCTGCCTATTCTATAGCGAGCTCACCTGAAGGTAAGACAGGCTCACCATGATAAAGATACTTTACCTGGAAATCCCTTAATTCCGCTTTTGGCAATATCGTAAAACTTGCAGATTCCATGGAACCTCAGCCACTTACCTCAAAAACACTTTTGATCACCACCCTTTTGCAACCAAACAGAAACACCAAGACAAAAGACCATGGTTCCGCTGCATCCCATGGAACCTCGGCCACCAGTTCTTGACTGCTATTGGGTTGGATCTTTAGACTTTAACTTTTTGGGAAATGAAGTTGGGTTTTCCACGAAACCCACAAACAAGTGAAAAACAAACAAATGCAGGGGGGGTCGTTACAGCAAAGAGTGCTGGTTGCGATGCAAAACGGATAGGTGCGGAACTTCCTGGTCTTCCAGGGGGATGTGGAGGCCACCGCGCAGCGCCAGGGCAAGGACGGGACTTGTGTGGGGAACCGCGAAAGGAGCGTTGTACGCATGGCCACTGAAGGTAGATTATGGGCTGGGGTACGGAAAGTTTCTCCTCCCTAAAACAGCCCTGTTATCAAATTTGATGTTTATCCTTTCGGAAAATGATCACTGAAGGAACGTATGGGGTAGCTGTGGGTCCCGTCGCATGAATCAGAGGATGTTGTTGCGCCATGACTTGCAGCTCCCAAAAAATCCCGTGAACCCGGTCTACTGAGACCCTTCGGTCAGAAGGTGGTCTTGAAAGCCCCTCCCCCCTGGGGCAGTAGCCCTGTTATCATTTGATTTATCCTTTCGGAAAATGATCACTGAACAAGGAATATTATGGATTGGGGACAGGAGCACAATTTGTTGTGTCCCTTGAAACAGCTCCTCTAGTAATCGTTTTGTCAAATTTAATTGAGCCTTTCGGCAAATGACCAAGAGTTTTCTCACTAACCAGCAAAAGGTTCGCGAAATAGTGCCCTTGATCTTCCTCTGAAAAATGGCCATAACCCCTTGGACATGCCGACCAAACTCCACTCACCGCCTGAAAACAAAGGGTCAGCTTTGCCTAGCTCGGCAAACACCAACAGAGGAGATTAGCGGGGAAGCAACAGCAAACTGCTTGGGCCCCTTCTTTCGAATCATGTTGAACATTCATAACTTATACATAACCCAATTGATCAGCTTTCAGGGTTTTGGGGCGCTGCTTCTTCCTGGTCTTTACCCTTCGTAGCTATCCTGTTTGGAATAGCTAACTCGTGATGGCCCGTGTCATACTGGCCTGGTCCAAAAGTAGCAGGGCCACAGATTTTGTCGACCCACCAGACACTTGGCCACTGGTTGATCTTGAAAAGCATGGGGCGCGGTCTTAACAATTGCAGCACCCCCCCTTTGGCGGGTTCAGCCAAGGAAGCAAGTCGAGCGGGGGACCAGGCATGTCCTGCACTTGCCATTCTCGGAAGCCTTGGTTGAGGATAGTCGACATGTGATCATCAAGCCTCGGTTGTTGTTGGGAAACATTTTTCCCATTTTTGCTTATTGTGGTTTAGTGGGAAATCCCCACTTGGCTGCTAAATTTTCAGAATTGTTGCTCCCATTTCAACGTCAACCAAGAAACAGAGATGTCAGTGTCTGTCAATTGGGGAGCCTTTGGCACTCTTGGAATGCTTCAACCGAAGCAACCGCCAAATTGTCATTGACACACACACACACCTTGGCAAGTTCCTTGCACCATTCATCCAGAACCGCACATGCATGAAGAGCGGCCTCTTGGTTTTGTGCCAGAAGGGCCAACGCTGGCCTGCTCGCCACTTGGGTAAAGTAAAGGGATCATACGTATACAAGCAACGGAAGATCTTCCCGGTGTATCGGTCGTTGGGCCAATTAGGTTGCAGATTGGCGGGCGATGAGTCTTAACGCCGCCTATCGGGTTCTTGGAATGCCGTTTGCATTCGTAGGGCAATCAATACGTGAGCAGCGAGCTGTTTTTGTTTGCTCGGGGCATCCTGAGTGTTGGGCAAGAGGTTTTGCATGTTTGCGAAGGTATTTGCGGCCCACTCCGTAGCTTTGAACATTGTTGCCAAGAGGTTGTGGCTTTAGGGTTTGAGGTTGGATTCGAGTTTTCCAGCAGTTGCTAAGATAAACATCTCAGTTGGCCTTGTTTGATCCCAAGGGCATCATTTTGGCCACGTGGATGCGCACTCACGTGGAAGGCCCCTGTCACACTGTTGATTGCCAACAGCTTCCATTGACCACTGAGGACGAACATGTTCCCTAAACCAACCTGGTTCCCTTTGCTTTGTTCAATTGCGGCCACCAACCCTGAATTGGGATGTTCATTGCAAGGATCGTTTTGAAGGAGATCAGCATCTCCCATAAAAAACAAAAAAACACATGGCCGCCGCCGTCCGGTTCAGCACAAAAATGCTGCCCCCGGTTTATAAAAAGGCATCATCCACTCCCAGTTGCGATGCAGGACTTGACCGCCTTCTTCGAGCAGATCTCGGGATCGGATTCTTTCCGCCAGGACGCGCGTGCTCAGACTCCCAGGGTCCCTCCAACGGAGCCCGACCCCCTAGGCCCCAACGCGTCGATTGGAGGCAGAAATGTCCTTGGTCACTCGGGTTGAAGCTAGATGGATTCCACTGGTTCAGGTTTGGTTCGAATCATCTGAGTTGCTGTCAAAGCGTCCAGCAGTATATGGTCCATTTGGGAGGGATGACATAGGGGACTCACTCAATTTCCTCACAGCTTGCGGGACAAGCTGTATTTTTCCCATGTCCTTTGAATGGGCCCACCTGCCGCAATGGTTGACTGTGGTTTTGTGAACTCCATTGATCTCCACAGCAGCCCACGGATGCGGAAGATTCGAGTCTCAGGAGTACGAGAGCTTGGCCTCTGAGAAGAACAAGCTCGAGGAGCGAGCTAGGCCGGGCCGGGCCGTCCATGGACGGGTTCTGGGACGGGTTCTGGGACGCTTGCACGGGACAAGCATGTTTGCGTGGCATCCAAGAGGACAATACTCTTCAGATTGATATGGAGCCCCAAATTGTAGATGATCTTTTTTTGGGAGTCCCTCTATTGGGGTTCCGTGTTAGTTTGTTTGGGTAGAGTCAGTTCTTGATTTCCGGCACATCCTCAGACTCACAGCTCATGCCCATGCTGCTTGAAAGCCACGTGAGGATTCTATTGGTTCATGAACAGTATACAACAAGTTCAAACAGCCTGTGAAACCCTCCAGGACCATCTCTGATGGATTTTGGGCACTCATTTGACATTTGCACCAGGATCGTTATCCATTCTACCTTGCGGAAAATTGCTAGAACCTTTGGTCAGAGCATTTGCTTGATTGGAGTTGTGTTTGAAGTGTTGCTTGGGATGGCTCGAACCTGCCAACAAAACATGCTTTCAGGGCGCAAGGATTCATCCGTCCTGCAAAGTTACAACGGCACACATGCGTCATCAAGCAACCCTTAGCAGGCAGAAAACTAACAAACGGAGGGGGGCCGTTTGAGTCCTCGCAGTGTGGGACAGAGGTTTGTCCTTGTGGTTGTCTCATATCCATCAAGCAATTCAAACGACCAAATTGATTGGGGGACCGCACTTGGTTGATCACATGGGCACGTGATGTGGCCTCCTATGGCGGTAGCCGCGGGATCTCTGCGTCACGGCAAGGTATCTCTTCTCGAAGAAGCGCAGCGCGGTGAACGAGCGAAAGCGAGTCTCCCAACAAAAGGAGGAAGCGGACGAGTGACCCGCAAAAGCTTGTAACGGCTTCTGCCAGTTTTGAAACATTTGGGTTCATCTTCTTTTGGGCGAAGGTTCCGGGAGTTTTTTGTAGGTGCATCACCCTGCAAAGGGGATAGGAACTGAGCTCTGCACGCCTAAGTTATTGGAGGATCCGCGCCTCAGAGATGGATTGGAACTTTGGGACTGTGCTTCCCCTACCCGAAGCAGGGAATTCCATGGATTCCATGGGACCTGTTTCTGCTGCATTGAGATAGATGGCAAAATCGTCGTTCCACGCACACGGATTCGCTTAGACACACAGAGAGACCCACTAAGACACACCGACAAATACACAGAAGCACAAAGACACGCTGAGATACACAGCAACGCGCGGAGTGCTACAGAGACACTCATAGACATACACAGACACACAAAGACACGCGCACAACACACACAGGACAAGCGACAACACAACTCGCAACATGCGACATTCACCCCCCCCCCCCACCCACACACAAACACAAACGCACACACACACACACACATATCACGACACACAAACAAACACACACACACACACACACACCCACCCACCCACCCACCCACCCACCCACCCACCCACCCACCAACCCACCCACCCACCCACCCACGCACGCACGCACGCACGCACGCACGCACGCACGCACGCACGCACGCACGCACGCACGCACACACCCGCACGCACACACCCGCACGCACACACCCGCACGCACGCACCCACGCACCCACGCACCCACGCACCCACGCACCCACGCACCCACGCACCCACGCACCCACGCACCCCACCCACCCACCCACCCACCCACCCACCCACCCACCCACCCACCCACCCACCCACCCACGCACGCACGCACGCACGCACGCACGCACGCACGCACGCACGCACGCACGCACCCACACACACACACACACACCAACACACACACACACACACCAACACACACACACACCACACACCACACACCTCACACCACACACCACACACCACACACCACACACCACACACCACACACCCACCACGCACCACACACCACACACCACACACCACACACCACACACCACACACCACACACCACACACCACACACACAACACACAGAACACACAGAACACACAGACAACACACAGAACACACAGACAACACACAGAACACACAGACAACACACAGAACACACAGAACACACAGAACACACAGCACACGCGCACACTAACACAAAACACACACGCAACAACGCAACACAACACCCACACACACACACCCACACACCCACACATGTACGACATGCACTCACATGCACACTCGCCACACAAACAGCCAAGCGCAAACACACGCACACACAAACATAAACACAAACACACCCCTTAATCGGTGTGCTTTTTGTTGAGTGGTACCTCCTCTGTGTTTCTTGTGAACCTTCAGTGACACTGGTATGTGGCGGGTATGCGTTCGTGTTTGTAATGGGTGAAGCATGCGCATGTGTGTGTGTGTGCGCTTTTTGTTTGCTTGTGTGTTCGTTTGTTCGTTATGAAGTTTGTTAGTTAATTTGTTGTTGGTTGGTTGGTTAATTTGCTTGTTGGCGTGTTTGATTAATTGATTGATTGATTGGTTGGTTGGTTGGTTGGCTGGCTGGCTGGCTGGTTGGTTTGTTTGTTTGCATGTGTGTGTGTGTGTTGCAATTATTTTGTTTCGTTTTGTTTACCATGGTTTGTGTGTTTTTTCTGTTGTTGTTTTTCTTGTTTCGTTTTGTTTGGTTTGATTTGTTCGGTTTGGTTTGGTTTGCTTATTTGTTTGTTTGGTTGTTTAGTTGCTTTCTTGTTTGCTTGTTTGCTTGTGTGTTTGTGTGTGTGTTTGTGAGTTTATCTGTTTGCGCTGTTGTGTTCACTTGGCTGTTTGTATGTAAGTGTTGATGGATGTTAGAGCAAGCCTCTGTGTTTGGATGTTTGTTATGTAAGTGTTTGCAAAGCCCCTGTGGATTTCCTTTACATCAAGTCCAAAAGGGTACCTTCAAGAACAGATAATATCATACAACCCTTTTCAACTAGCCGAACAGTCAGCTTGGTTTGTGCACTTTTTGGATGAGTAGCACTGCTTTACATTCGACCTAAACCGATGGAGGGCCGTTGATCAAAAGGCCATTGACCCTTGGTGGACCGGCGGAAGACGGAAGAACAACTTTTACGGTCCAGCACGAAAGGGAGCCAGCGCCACTCTCCGAGTCTGGGAATGTACGAAGGGGGGAACGCAACCTGCGTTTTTTTTTGCAAACGTGCATGACCTTCCCCCTTCGTTTTTTGCTCCAGGGTTTCCAGTGAACAACTCAACATGTAAAAACCGCTTGGAGACATTCCCCTTTGATTTCTGGGCCCCACGGAAGATACGCGGCGAGGTACAAGCACCTCCAAACGGTGCGGAAGGACTTGCAGCGGGAGTTCACTTTGTTTCGCCTGCACGGCCTGGCCCTGAGCGCGTAGAACCTCCCAAAAGAAGCCCTTTGCAACCAGCAGGAGTTTTGGTGTTTCCTCGTTTTTGTTTTTTGTTTGAACAATGGTTGTCCCTTTTCAAATAAAGTACCAACATGTAGTTTAAAGAAGGGGTGTCTTGCTAATTACTGCTGCTGTCAGTATGCCACAACATATCTTGCGTCAGTGAGTCAGTGAGTCAGTGAGTCAGTGAGTCAGTGAGTCAGTGAGTCAGTGAGTCAGTGAGTCAGTGAGTGGGCGGGCCGGCGGGCGAGTCAGTGACAGAGAGAGAGAGAGAGAGAGAGAGAGAGAGAGGGAGAGAGAGGGAGCGCGTGGCGTCCGAGGCTTGACGTCGCAAATGGAAAGAGCCAAGTCAACAAGAAGCGATGCCATCAAGGATCGAGAGGCGAGATTAGAAAGCTTTGGCGAGTTGTGTGCTATGGGCTAAAACAGTTTTTCTCCCCGAAACCAGCCTATAGTGATTGGAGGACATGGCCAACCAGAAAAAAAGAAGCAAAGACCGTTTTGTTGTTTTTTTATAGCTGATATTTCGGATCCCTTGGCGCGGGGGCTTGCGCCAGGCCATCCGCACTCAGATGGAGTCCGAGAAGCAGAAGTTCGAGGCAAGCGGTTGGCAATGCCCCCATTGGGCAAGCCAAGGCACAGCGCCCAACTTACATAGGCGTCCTTCTGATCGGTTAGTTTGGTTAAGAATAGATGGGTTCCACTGGTTTAGATGGGTTTTGTTCCATTTACCAGGGCCATGTGATTTTTTCCAAACGGCCACCTATGGCAACTTAACTTTGATTCTGTTTTGGAGGGAAAGCCCCTTGCTATTTTGAGTCAATGCATGCATTTGTAGGTGTTGATAAAGGGTAAGTCGATGTTTTGTGGGTAGCGTTGCAGACTCCAACTAAGAATCTAAGACAATGCAATCGACGGAAAACCACACATGCACAACAATGTCGATGGATACTTTCCTTCGAGCTATTCCCTCCAAGCAATTCACATTGCAAGATTAAGGCGCAACCAAACTCTGTGCCGATAGGACTGGATCCATCAGCTCCGGAAGGATCCCAGCCCCAGTTCTAAACAGAGAGTGAGGGGCGTCCAAAACCTGCCATTGGGCACTTTAGTAGAACTGTGAGAGACACTGTTTCATTAAGGACGCACATGGATCGGGGTCGGGGTCACTAAGATACACTCACTCATACAACCAGGCTAAGCATCAACAGTCCAAGGGGTTTTGGCCACTGTTTGTTTGGAAGTCTCTCCAGCCATTGGCGACCATGCTTGTTTCGAACCTTCCATTTGCTTGAGGCTACTTATTGCTTTACCCTGCTGGTTTGGAAGGGAGTCTATCACTACTGGAAATGTGGTTTTGCACGACTTATCTGCAAATGGAGGGAATCTCTGCCAGACCTTTGCCCAAGGCTGGCTGACCTTTAGCACTGACTCTGGGCTTAGGGAGCCACAATCAAAGTCTGCGTAGATGACGGGTAAGGCACAATCCGAACCATAATCGGTGCGCCCTTTTGGTTCACATGGATTCGAGCAGACAAACAAATATAGTTTTGGCTTAAGATAGTCATGTCCACCTCCCCTCAAACAAGCACATCTGGATCTGAGGGTAACCCTTGAACGAAGCCTCCTGAAAGCACCTCCAGGGAGTCCGTTGTGCCTTACCAACTTGGAGGTTGAAGTTCTCGCACGTGGCCAATGTCAATGAGCCCCTTCAAAGTGGGAGCACTTTGTTCCTTTTGGAGGGAACGGCCTGAGTTTGGATTGTCGCACGGCAGGAGGCAGATCGCAGCAGGGCTAAAGCTCGCCTGGAGACACAGCAGGCGGCTGGGCGGGGAAGCTGGAGAGTTTGACTTCTTCCCAGAAAAGTCTTGAGGGATGCGGAGGAAAACTTGTAGCTTACTTTCCAAGCGTTGTGGCATTGAAAGATTACACGCTGTCCTTTGAAACACACCCAGAGACCTGCACAACGTTGTGGGGGTTGCCGTTTTTCACCCCTTTCTCAGGAGAAGGGAGATCTCGGCAACCTACCCAAACAGGGGGTCAAAATGTAGAGCCGCAGGAACATGGTTTACCGTGATGTAGTTATCAACATGTACCTTCTTTGCTCTGAATCCGAATGTCTCTTGCAACCTGGACGTTTCACCCGAAGCTGTTTTTGATTGATCGGATTTTGTATCTGCCCGTTTGCTTTGTCCGAGGGAGTATTGCATGGCTCGGGTCTTTTGAACATAGTTGCATGAGAATCATTGAGTGACTAAATGTTGGCAGGCGAGGGGCAGGTTAGCCCGATTTGTCACAGCGGAGCGTCAAATTTGTCCATGCTCACTTGAGTGAAGCCTTGAACATAATCACAAGAAGTTGCTCAAGTGAGAGGGCCTGGGCTCAGGGCCTTCATTCAAGGTTTTCCATCACCATGTCCGGGATGTGTGCCATGCGGTGCGCCCTCTGGCTTAGGGACGGACATGGGTCTAGACGTTGAATCCTTCTAGATTGATCGAGATTGTCAGAGGTCAGCCCGAGATTCGAGACAAATCACTGGGCTTGGAGATGTTGAGCACTGCACCCACGGACCAAATTTGCATTTGGGGCTGCAAACTGTCGAAGGGTCCAAATGGTGAGCGAAAAGAAAGCATCCCAACATGTTGACAACACTGCTGCCGGTGAACTAGGCCAGGACCTTGTTTCATGGGGGGAGGTGTACCATATATCGTACACATTTTATATGGGCTTAAATCCCTGCCTCTCTTTTTGGATGCTGGCAATGGACTGGTGACAGATCAAGCCCATAGCCGCAACCATGCGGTTGCGTGATGAACACGTTTTGGACTAGGTTCAGCATTGTTTTGCCCAAGCATGCGACTGTCGCATATAGAAAGTTCTGGCAGCCTGGTGCTCCGCTGGGTTGTGATTATTCCATGCTGCGAGACGTTGCCACAGAGCTCTCTGAACTCACTACCGCAAAAGTGAGCAGCTCACTCCGTGAGGTCCACTCCAAACTTTGGCAAACAAGCTTGGACTGCTTCGGCCGATCCACTCAGGAAGTGATCGCTGTTGCTTTGAATCTAGTTGTTTCAACTCTTCTTACAGAGCTTGGCAACCATTTGCGCGAGGGCTCTGTATAGTTCCCCTACTTGCAGCAACGTGGCGTGTTATAATCTGCTGAATTCCAGTCCAGTTTCTTCCACAGAAGTGTTCCTACAGCAACTCTGCAGACGTTTTCCCGTGTGTCTGGCAAATGTGCAAGGCAGGTAAGTCAACGGGGGGGGTTCTGGATGCAAGCTCGGTACAAGTATATCTCTAAGCCATCTTAAAAGGATTCATTGCGGGTCCACGCAGGTTTTCCCTGTGTCCCGCTTTGGAGCCTCCCTGTGTTCTGGGCATCCGCAAGTTGGCAGGTGGAGAAGCAGCTGGGCGGGGTCAAGGCGAAGTTGGAGCCGGGGACTTGGGGCTGGGGATGTGAAGCTTGAATGCTATTGATCCCAGATGAAGAAACCTGTTTTATTTGCTTGGGCCTTCCCCTCCAAAAGTGATAAAACCCGCCCTCTGAAAGGGGACACCGAAAAGGCCAACCAGGTTTTCTCCGGGGTCAACATCACTGGGTACTGCCATTTACAGCTAGGGATCCATATCAACAGGGATGCATGTGGCTCCTAGGCCCCGGATCAAGTTGCAATTGCAAAGCAGGCCTTCCACATTCATGCTTTGCCTGCGAATTGGTTCAACAAGTTTGGCTAGGCTGATTGGTCAACGTCTAAAGACTCAGCCCTGACATAACCTCGGCTGGTTCCTGGAAAGTGCGCCCTAAGTGGAAATCCAAATTGATTGAGCCTTTTTGTCCGAACTCGGGTGCAGGCAGGTGCTTGAGATCTTTAAACTTAGCGCAATTTCTTTCAAGTCAGCACGTGTTTTTCAATTTGTGGCCTGTTTTCTCGAAGCCTTGTCCAAACATCACCCTAAGTCTGAAGACTATCTTTGACCGGGCCAAACTTGGAATTGATCTGTCTGACCGTGACAACATTGTCTGACTTGTTGACCTTTGAAACATTCTTTCTCAACGACCTTAGACACAACCCCTATGATCTTCAGGGTTGGCCCTGATCGGAGCGCCTTTCATCATTGACTTTACAAGTTGTCTTCACTTTCTTTGTGCTTACATGGCATTCAGGATTTGTAGTTGTGTCGCCTCGTCTTCTTCGCTAGTATTCTATGAACCACGCAACAAGCTCGTGTACAGCTTGCAAGAATGGCAAAGGAGCATCTTCGCAGATGGGTGTGGCTCAAAATTAAACAGGAGGGGTTACGCAGGTTTTGGTCCGATTCCACTTACCGGGGTTCCATTTTGGTACCGTTTTTTGAGCCACAGCCAGATCTTGCCAACGAACGATCACCATTCAGCATGAATGCACATCAAGAGAGTTCAAATGAGTGCCTCTGACAAGCTGATTGCAATGATATCAAAGCTTGAACAGAGGCTTCGGGCAAGAAAAGCAGGGGCACATGGTGTAATTCGTGGTGTGTCCATTTCCATTCCTCCATCTGGTTGAATGACGGGAGCTGGCCAAGCTTGTCAGGAAACACGTAAGCAAACAACAACTCAAACTCCAGAGCTCAGTGCAAAGATTTTCAGAGAGAGCACCTCACACCCAAAGACAGGAGAGAAGATACGAGTTCAAAGCAGAGCTCGAGCCAAAAGCAAATCACACTCGGCCTGAGAGGGGTTCGCATTCGCCTGGATGGAGCCGAGGAAATTCCGTCCTGAGCGCGTCACGGTTCAGAGCCGCTTGTACTTCCTCCAGCAGAGGCGTTCCGGGCCCCAAGCCTTCTGACCTCCATTTGACCTGGTGGTTTCTGGGCGCCCGAAAGCATGGGGGCGCCAGAGAGGGACATCAGCATGTTAAACAAAGGCGGTGTTCCTTGATGGGTGATGTTGATGAACATATCATTCAATAGGATGGATGGTCTAGACTTTCGGGAAACGTAGGGTTGGAGGACATCCAGCAACTGGCTTCAAGGTTTCTGATGTGTGTCTCCGTGAGTTGGCTGTTCTTGGATTGGATCTGAAGGACCAAAGATGCCCAAGCCCACACCCTTTCCCTCAAATGTTTCTCAAGTTCTTCCCTCCAGTTGTATCTTTTTAGAGTCCAGTTGCAACCAACATTGTCAATGATTCACAAAGGAAACCAGTTGCAAAAGGAAACCAGTTGCAACCAACGTTGACACAGGAAACCCAAGTTGAGCTAGGCGCCTGGTTTGGTGCACACCCTCAGCGTAGGTCGGGGACTCCGATCGGCATCGGCAGGCTAGAGGAACTCTCGCAGTCATCACGACGGGATGGCCAGAGGCGGGTTTGTCCTGGACGGTGCACTTGGGGAAGGGAACTACTTCCAACCGCAAAACCGTGGTGACCTGCTGTAACCTGCAAGGTGCTTCCAACTTGTTTCTCTAGAAATGTACTGTATGTGTCAGAATAGGGGGACCCTCGCAATGCTGCTTTTCTTTTGAATTCCCTTCAAGGCAACCTGAGAATGGGTACCCTTAAGCAACGACACACACACACACACACACATATTGAGTTGGCCACCCTAGGCGGGGCAAGTTGGAAGAGCAGCTGGCAGCCATTCGTCCTCAGCTTAGTCAGCCTGTCTCCGCGCGCAAGTTTGCCGGGGCAAGGGGGTGCAGGGGAGAAGGGCCGATGGAAAAGGACATAGACGGATGTTGAAAGAGGGACCGATTTGAGGGTCTGTTTTGAACAGAGATGAAGATGGGACCAACCTCAGTCGTTCCATTTGGTAGAGCAATCCGCCAAGGGAAGCACGCGTCCAGACTCAAAATGGTTGGTTGCCCACAGCTTGCCATCCCTACCCAAGTTGAGCCAAGACCAAGATGGGACTGACCTCAGTGATTCCACGCAATCCACCAGACTCAAAACATTGGTATCCGTTGCCCATCCATATGGCCACGGGTCAAATCCCAAATCGTACCCCCAATGAACATCCACCAATCCAACCACGGAAAAATCGGTAACCTAAAATGGGTGGTGAATTAATTCCCCTACCCACCAAAATGGTACCATTGGTTTTGACCCACAGCCACATGGAACCTGACAGGAATTCCATAAAAAAAGCCATTCTCCCTTATAAAGGGATTTCATGTCAGGTTCTAAAAATGAAAATACATCCCAATCCCCACTAAATATTGATTCTAAAATGGGTGGTGCATTCCCCTACCCACCAAAATGGGATCCATCCCAAATCGGTTTTGACCACCGCCATATCCGCGAGCCGAGGAGCCGAGGAAGCCAGGCTGGAGGCACAGCAAGAGGCCCTCAAGCAGGGCTTGGCGGAGCGCAAGGTGAGCTTCACGCCCGCGCAGCTCAAGGAGACGGGCGGCTTTTTTTTTGTTGTTGTTTTTTTCATCCAATTTGCTTAAGAATTGTTTTTTTCTTTCCCCCCCCTGTTGGTTTTAAAGGGAATGTATCACTACTGGATTGTGTTTTTTTGTTTTTTTAAACATCTTTTTCCAGGGGCCTTAAGCAACTGGCAGTTTAGAGTTGGACGTGCCAACTGGTTGTGACGTTGTGACAGGAGCACAAGAGCTTCCCAGAGAGACATGGCTGGTGTAATTTGAACTAAACAAGAAAGGTTCTGGATGTGATGAGGACAAGGTTTGTTGAACCTTCGAAACAAGCTTGCACAGGGCACACCATGACAGGTACGGTAGGCCCGCAGTTCTTGTTCGAGAATCCTGCGGATGATGCTTGTACGATATCCTTCCCATGAATCCCCTTAGAAAGGCCTTGCAAGAACTTAAGCCTTGTTTCAGGGAAGCCCTTTGGGCGGACTTGGTACCCGTCCAGGACGTGTGATGCTCTTGAATACGCTTTTGGGGTACCGTAGGAAGGGGTGACTTTCCTGGCATCCTTGCAGGGATCCTTTCAGCTGCAAACCTTATGTCTAAGGTTGTTTGTAGTGCACCCTGCAAATACACCAGCCCTACTTGGGCTATTTCCAGAAATCAAGAAGACTGTTTCTAATTGGCAGGGAGTATTGCCAGGGTGGCCAACCAACATGTTCTGTGACCATTTCCGGGCACTTGAGAGACACCGACGTGTATGCAGCTTGGCAAAGCGCCTCCTGGCTCCCAAACCAAAACCCGGCAACAGCTCGGGGCCGGCGGCCGCCTCAATCCAAAGGCCCTTTCTCATACCATGGCTCATTGAGAGCACTTCAAGGAGAACCAGAAATGGGGTTTGGCGCCTTGAATTTGTTGGCTTGCACGCTCCGCCCGCTCTTTTGACAACTAATATATGGAACCTCCGTTTGGAGGATGCCCCAAAGTAAAATTCCTCTGCAAACGTGTGCTTGGGGTTCTATGTGAATCTGCAGGAGAGCAACTGCTTGCAACCAGCAAGCAACCAGCAAGCAACCAGCAAGCAACCAGCTAGCAACCAGCAAGCAACCAACCCTTTTGGCTGGAAACGCCCAACCGAATTTGAGCAATCAAGATTCAGCATCATATTGTGTAAGGGAACTTGCATTGGGGCACCTACTTACCACAAGGAAATGAGGGTTACCTGTTCATAAAAGCACTTCAAGGAATCACCGTTGGTAGTGTTTTTGCTTTGAACCACCATTCAGAGCGTATTTTTGAGGATGCAGCTGGTGCCTTCATGGACATTCGCATTTGCAATTCCGAAACAAGAACATCATGTGTTACTTTCACGGACATTACAATCATCCCTTTCGTGTCCTTTAGCAAAACCAACGGCCAACGCAAAATGACCATGGTTGGCTGGGAATACACCACTTGTGTATCACGAAAACTGGCAGAATCCATTTCCACGTCATGCTGAACGCCACTCTACAAGGTAATTCCCGGTGCTTTTTCAGCCAAACAGGTGCTGGGTGAATGTAGACGGCGCAATCCCCTTTCGCAAAGGGGATGAGCAAACCAACCTGAAGGAATTTCGCCATCTGACAAACCCAGCTCATGGGAGCCGGGAAATTCTATCGGAACTGCGCCAACTGTTCAGCAAACCGAGGAGAGCCCTTGCAGGATGTCTTGGACAAGCTCACCCAACTGATCCTAAATAGGTCTGTAAAAATGAGCTGGTGTCATGGTTGTCACTGCTTCTAGGTGTTATCACGATCAGAAACTGGGTTGGTTTCCCTTTAACCCACAACGTAGAGTTGAAGGTGACTTTGATGGTAAAACGGTGGGGCCAGGATTATCCGGGGAGGAATGTAAAATCATGGGGCCAGCGATCTCTGGGGAGCAATGTAAAGGGAGGGGTAACACAACATTCTCCCCCCCCCCAGAAAAAGGAAAAAGTCCGCACCCAATGGAAAGTACACCACAGGGGAGGGTTTATAGGGGGTCATTCCATTTCTCGTTCCCTGAGCACCAGCAAGTAAAGCAGGCCCAAAAACCTTCCCCCCCCCCAAAAAAAAAAAGAAGAAGAAGGAAGAAGCAAAAAAAACAAGCCCAACATATATACGCACCCAATGTAAAGTAGGGCCCGGGACTTCCTCCGTGTCCCACATGGCCTCCATTTGCTTAAGAACATGTTATTTTTATTTCCCCTGTTTGTTTTAAAAGGATGTCATCACTACTGGACATTTTCTCATTTTTCCTGGGGCCTTAACCAAATGGAAGATTGTTGGTTTCCTTTGTCCCATCCCCTTTTGGTTTGAGGACTTCTTCCTTGGGGAGGAATGTAAAGTAGCATTTCCTGGGGCCTCCCCCCCAACAAAAAACGGGGGAACAAAAACACAAGCCCGAAAAAAAAAAAAAAATCCGCGCCGAATTTCAATAGGGCCCCCCCAACTTCCCCCCCGCGTTTTCCCGTTTTGGGTCGAGGACTTTGAGAAGGCGAAGCAGGAGACGGAGAAGATCACCGCGGGCTCCTCGGACGCCCTGCGGCAGCTGGATCACCAGATCCGCGCCCTGCGCCCGGGAGCCTGGAGAAATGGGTCTGTCAAGTAGGGGAACCTCCTCCCCCCCCAGAAAAAAGTGGTGCTTTTTTATGGTTCCCAATATATATATATATATGTATATATATATATATTATCTATATAATATATATATATATATATTCTATATATACATTTGTATCAATATATTTATGTACAATATGTTTATGTATATAGATATATGTTTGCATATATTTGTGGTTTTCTTGTGGTTCCCCCTTATGCAAATATACGCTCTACTCCAAGAACCTTTTTTGTTTAAAGATTCTCGAAAATAGCCAGGCGTTTTTTGTTGTTGTTGTTTTTGTTTCCCGATATGTACATACAATATAGGCGGTAGATCATGAGGGGCGGTCTGATCACATAACACATTTATATATATATATATACAACCCCAAAAATGGTGCTCTCAAGAAAGGATGTTGCTGGTGATGTCCAAGCGTGTTTCCCCTTTTGGAAAGCCAGTTCAAAGTGATCTACCTCTTTGTCGGGTGAGGTTTAAGTGAAAACTAGGACCCCATTTTGTTTTATTGCATGTCCTCATATGGGTGTGGGTCAAAATTAAACCACCAGGGGACCACAGGTTTTGGCCTATTTTTGACAACCACTGCCATATGTTTGTCCTTTTTTGAAAGGAGCTGTCGCTTTGCCAAGAACCTCACGACCTTGAGGGAACATCCTGGCAAGGGACAGTCCAACTCGCATTCGCTTCCATTCATGGGGCTGGGCGGGTGACAGAAAGACTGAAGCTTTGGATCCGTTTCTGGGGTTTCTTAAGCCCTAGTTTATGGGTTGAGCCAATGACTTGAGAGTATGGCACCGAAATGGCTGTAGGTCAAAACCAATGGGATCCCATGGGGCAAGTGCACCACCCATTATGGTCTACTTTAGTGGTTGGATTTGATGATGTTCAGGGGGGGTACAGGATTTTGACCCATGGCCAAATGTAAAGCAGCTTCCAAAGGGTATTTTGTTCTCGTCCCCCAGAACATTTCCGGGGTAGCGCTCGGATTTTTATCTCGCCTGAGGAGCCGAGCGCATCCAGTCAGAGGGGGATGAGCGTGACGCGTTGGCGCGGAGGAAGCACTTGCAGCAGCGGCTGCAGGAACTGGCCGAGGCGGCTCGGGGTATTCGAGGGGGTTGGGAAGTGGTGCAGGAGACTCGGAGACATGGCGGTCAATCTTGAAGGAAAATTGAGAGACACGTCCATCTTCTAGCAAGCACCAAATTCTCGGCATCGCCCAAGCGGTTCTGCCCTCGGCCGTGTTTGGCGCCAGTTCTTTGGCAGGTAGAGTCATCGACAGGGAGCCTGGTGGAGAGAGGCCAAGGGATGCAAGAGGACAAGGCGCGGTTCCGCGGTTCTTTCGAGGCTCTTGTTGTGCAGGGCTTCGGCACTGAGGTCCCTCCACAGAAGACGCTGCATGAGAGTCGGTTGACGTATCCAGTAGCCTGCGTTCGACTTGGGAGAGCGACATTGGGGGACTGGCGGATTTTCCACAAACACCAGGTCTCCCTGATTTTCTCATGTCCTTGAAAACAAACACCGATTTTGACCGTGGCTCATACAGCAATTAGATAATAGATGGGTGCGTGTTTCTCTGGAACCCCTTTGTTGGGTTGGGTTTGAAGGGAAGCCAAAAGCGAAGCCGAGATTCGCCTGAGGTCCATATCTCCTTTTGAGACAAGCCCTCCCTCCAGCTTGTGCCTATGCACCTCCAACCCTCTCCGCTTCTCACCATTTCTTTCCCTCGTGGTTGTAGAGCACTATGAGTCTTAGCGCCACTTTTTGCGATATTAAGGGAATGCCCTTCAAGACAAGAAAGCGTCGCAGAAAGTAGATGGCATAATTTTATTCATGTCAATAAGGGGATGAGTCCACCTGAATAGGGAACTGTGCTATCGATACTGAAGCACAGATGTGCTTGTGGGTCAAAACTAAATCCGCAGGGGGCCGCAGGTTTTAGTCCTTGGTTCCATTTGCCAGGGCAACCCATTTTGGGGACACCTTCTGTGGATGGGCGAAATCCTGACCCAAGAAGCCCTGGAAGGATGACTCCTCTCTATCATACCAACAAACGTTATGGTTTCCATTGGTTTCAAGCTGCAGGATGTCGTCCATCCGCAGTATTCTTGACCACAGCCATCGCATTCCGCACACCCCGGTGGATTCGATTCCGTTCTTCTCGCGTCACATCTCAGGCCCAGCAGCTCGCGTCATTGCGGGGCGCCAGCGAAAGTCGTGCAGAGGAGAAGCAACAGCTGCAGCAGGAGCGGGCGATTTTGAAGCGTTCAGAAGAACTAAGTGGCAGGGATGTTTTTGGAGCGAATTGGGATGTGGGATGTTTCAGCACCTACTGCTTAGCCTGCTTTCTTGGGTCTCTTCTCCGCAAAATGCATTTGTATATATATATATATATAAATGCTGCGTTGTTACCGGAATCTGCGCGAAGTGGGTTTTGCTGAAAGCAGGATTTGGATCCCAAGGGCAACCGATTTTTGTGTCCTTTGTTGTTTTTTCTCTTCTTTTTGGTACTTGTTTAGCACCCTTCCAGGATTTTCCAGGGCTGGGGTCCGCCCAGCCTGTTCCCGAAATTAGATCCCCAAGTGGGGAATGGTTCCCTCAGTGATCCCAACATGTGTTGTTCTTTTAGGGACCCGGAGAATGGTCTAAACCAGGAATTTCCCCCCAATTCTTTTGCTACCGGTATCAATGGTTGTAATTGTGCCTCGTGGCTTTGTTTTCTTCAAAACCTAAAGAAACCTGTCCTTTCCTCTAACAATCCCCTGCAGCTCCTTGTTGGTGGAAATGACCATGACCATGGCCTATATAAGAAGTTTGACCATGGCCCATCCAGACGCTATTTTCCTTTTGGTCAGGGCGGTTCCCTTGGTTGCCTTTACAAGAGAAATGGCCTCCCTGGGTAAATGGACTTTGACCCAAGAGGTTGTATCTCTGCAAAACCTTGACCCTATAGCAAATGGACCCCCTGATTTGTATACCCTTAATGGACGGACATTGGACCCCCCCCTTGGCTTTTACAGGGTGCATGGACTTTGGCGCATTTTGCTTGGATGTTAGGACTTGAACTGTTTGCCGACCAATGGGTTTTCCATCAACCCACTACAAGTTAAACTTCTAGCAGGGGAGCAGAAAGCAACCGAGCCCGGTCACCCTTACTGGATGGATATTGGACCCCCCTTTGTTTGTACATCTAGGGGCATCTTTCCAGGGATCCTTCTTTCTAGAAAACCTCCGGAAACCCAGGGAAAACTGCCGATTTTTGGAAAGAACAATGGTTGAAAAGAATGGAAGAGGAATCAACCCCTAGAGTACAGGGTACATGGGCCCCCTGGGTCCCCGGGAGAAAAAAAGCCCGCCGAGCTCCTCCGGCAGGAGCGGCAGCAGCTGCTGGAGGCCATCCAGGACTTCACGGCCTCTGAGCAGCAGCTGGAGCGGGAGCGCGAGATCAGCGCCCTGGGCCGCAGCTCTCGCGTCGTTAAAACAACGAAACGAAGCCCGGGAACTTCCATTTGCTTTTCCTTTAAACAAAAAAAACACCTGTTGGTTTGTTTTCCCCCGGTTGGTTTGTCGTTCTTAAACGGCTGTGGTTGTCAAAACTAATGGTTTGCCGTTGGAGTTCCCTTCAAGCCAATGCCACAAGGGCTTTCCTAAGGAAACACACACACAAGTATACAGCCAAGGACAAACAAGTATGGCTGTGGTTGTCAAAACCGTTTTGGGATCCCATTTTGGTTGGTAGGTGAATTCACCGCCCATTTTAGAGTCTATTTTAGTGGTTGGATTGGTTGATGTTCACTGGGCGTACGATTTGGACTTTGACCCATGGCCAAACAAAGCAAAGCCCGGTAGCTTTCATCTGCTTAGTATATTTTTGTGTTTTTCCCCTGTTGGTTTGAAAGGGAATCTATCACTACTTGCTTATCTTGAAGAATCGAAGCCAGGTAACTTCTATGTGCTGAAATGAATATGTTTTTTTGATGTTCCCCCTGTGGGTTTGAAAGGGAATCTACCACTACTTGCTTAAGAATATATGTTTGTTCCCTGGTGGTTTGAACGGGAATCTATTTATCACTACGGGACATAGTTGTATTTTTGTCCAGGCGAAAAAGCACATGGAAGCATAAGTTTAAAGGGAAGCCAGAACCAAATATCTGCAAGAAGCCAGTTTGTTTAGTCCATAGTGTGAGAAACCCAGTTCCATTCTCCTGTGGAGGTATCCAAGGGCTTTTCCACCCTTTAGAAGCTAAGCGCCAAACCGACACTCTCCAATGAGGTGATTTGGTACGGTAGCGGTAAGCAACACCAAGCTTATGGTTTAGGTGTGTCGTAGGTACCCTGTCCGTGGCTTCTGGCTCCAGAAGGGGGTTTCACATGGCTCCTGATCACTTGCATTCCACTGGTTTCATTTGCCTCACGTGAACCTAGGTCTCCAGTAGTGCCCTTTTACCCTTTTTGGGGGGAGGGTTCCCCTACTAAAATAGAACACAGAACAAAAGGGTACCCTTATTCTAACCTCTCTACTGGAGGTGCCATCTGCGCCTCACTGATGGAAAACCACCCCGGGGTGTACGGGCGCATCGTGGATCTTTGTGACGTGGCCGAAGCAGAGGGCGACTGAGTGGTTTGGAGTTCAAGGTGTTGAGTCTCTTGTGCTTGCTGCAGTTGTTTTCTTTGTGTGTTTGTTTCTTTTCTTGCTGGCTTGCTGGCTGTTTTGTTGTTTGGTTGCTTAGTCAAGTTGTTGGTTTGCTTGTTTCTTTGCATGCCTGTTTGCCTGTTTATCTGCTTGCTTGCCTGCTTGCTTTGGTTGTGTGTTTGCAGGTGGGTGGGTGGCTGTTTGTTTGATTGCTGGCTTGCTTTCTTGCTTGGTTGCTTGTTTGTTTGGTTGATTCAATGAATGGTTGCACCACGTGTTTCCTACCGTTGAGAGTGTTCGCTTGCGTGCGTGCCTGCGTGCGTGCCTGCGTGCGTGCGTGCATATGTTTTGCTTGCTTGATCGCTGGTGTTCTTGTTTTGTTGTTGTGCGGTATTGTCTTTCCTTGTCTTGGTTGTGTCCTTGTTTGCTTGATTGCTTGTGTGTTTGCTTGAATGTTTGTTTGTGTGTCTGTCTCTGGCGTGTTGATTTGTATGTGCGATTATATCTTTCCTTGTGTGCATGTGTGCATGCACGTTTGTTTGTGTTGTTTTCCATCATGTGTGCATTGTTTGTTTGTGTGTGTGTTTTGCTTGCTTGCTTGTTTGTTCTTTGTTTGTCTTGTCTTATTGATTTGTCTTGTCTTGTTTGCTTGCCTGCCTGCCAGCTTGCTTGTTTGCGTTTTTTTTTTTTACACATGTGTGTTTCTTTGTCTGTTTGTTTGTTTGGTTGTGTGTTTCTTAGTTTATCGATGTATGTGTTTTTTTTTGTTTTTTCGTTTTCTGTATTTGTTTCTTTAGTTCTTTGTTTGTTTGTTTGTTTGTATGTTGCTTTGATAGTCTGTTTGATGGTCGTTTTTGTTTCTTTGTATGTTGGTATGTTTGTCCGCATGCGTGGTTATATATTTGTTTGTGTGTATGATTGTACTGTGCTTTGTTGCTTGTTTGCGTTATTGTCTGATGTTTGTTTGTGTGTTTGTCTCTATTGTTGTGTGTATGTTGCTGTATTGGCTTGTATATGACAATTGTTCACTGTGCTTTTGCCCTTACTTGGCTTGTTTGTATGTTTGCACGCCTGTTTGTTTGTGGTGTTTGCGTGCGTGTCTTGTTTGTGTGTTACTTTGACTTCTTGTTTGTGTGTTGGTTTGCTCCAGGCAAGCCCTCGCAGAAGCGGCTGCACGTAGCGGTGAATGTGGCCATTGGCAAGTTCCTGGACGCCATCGTGGTGGACGACAGCGAAACGGCAAAAGCATGTGTGCGCTACCTGAAGGCTGGCCAAAAGTGGGCGGAATGCGGGATGGGGTGGAAGCTGAGATGGTGACATACCTGGCTTCTTTTCTTCCCGCCTTTTCACTATATATCCATGATGAGATCGAGCGGTCAACTCAGTAAGCCGGACCACTGCTGCCATGATGGACTTAGATGCAAACGCACAGTGACATAAGCAATTTCTGTGTTTCTTATTGAAAGGCTGAATACTAGGTTGGACTGTTGGAGCCTGAGGGTGCCACCACGTGTGTTGGCATTAGTCCCCAGACATCTACATATGTTAAACATAAATAATATATATATATATACACACACGCATTTTCTACTCATGAGTTGCCTACTATGGGACAACTTGTATATACAAGCGCATCCATTTGCTTGTGCTATGAGCAATAGCCTAGTTTGGCAGCCCTTCAGCAGGCAAGCCGGTTCCATGGGCTGCACCCTTCTTGAGATCTCTTCTGAACTTGTTTGACGGTTTTCAGATTCACTAAAATATAGCCCACACTCAAACACAGTAGATTTGTTTGGGGGGGGAAAGCCGAGGTGGCTCTGGTTGGCCGAAGGGCAACCAACCTTTTTGGGGAATCCCACTTTTATTGGGAAAGATTGGTGAAATCGAGGTGTCAGCTCGCAAGACATCCCGCAGTGAGTTTCCCTTGAAACAAATACAACCAACTCCCAAACGGCCTTTGAGCAAGCAAATGGTCATTAGAGACATGCGCATCTACAAAGACTGAAGGAACAAGGTAAAGGAGGGTGCCATCTATCAGCTCTCCCCCTGAAGTTAAATACTTTTCGGGAGAACCATGTTGCAAGCCGAAAGTTTGGCTCCCTTTTTCGGCCAATCACGGGAGCATTGTGTTTGTAGACTCCTAAGCAGGGTACAAGTAGAATAGGCGTCCCTAATTTTCCTTAGGGTTTAGGGGGAGGCTTAAAATAAAGAAACACTCCCCCCCCACCCTTGGACCTCTCCCTCCCCCAGCCCTCCCGTTCCCTCCCCTCCCCCTCCCCCTCCCCCCCCTCCCCCTCCCCTCCCCTCCCCCTCCCCTCCCCTCCCCCTCCCCTCCCCCTCCCCTCCCCTCCCCCTCCCCCCCCTCCCCCTCCCCCTCCCCTCCCTCCCCCCCCTCCCCCTCCCCCTCCCTCCCCCTCCCCTCCCCTCCCCCTCCCCCTCCCCCTTTTTTTTGTCGCCCCCTCCCCCCCTCCTCCCCGCCCTCTCCCCACCCCCTCCCTCCCTCCCTCCCCACCCCCTCCCTCCCCCCACCCCCTCCCTCCCTCCCCACCCCCTCCCTCCTCCCGGATTGGCCAGGAGCGAATGCTGCCGCCCATGACCTTCCTGCCCATGGCAGACTTGCGAGTGCCCGCCCTCGACCCGCGCCTGCAGAACCTGGTGCACAGCCAGCGAGGATGTCATGGGGATGCGTCAAGGGATCCGCTCCAATGGTGGTCCTGTTGGTTTCCTTTGACTAGGTCCCCCAGTAGGGCCCTTTTGCCCTTTTTTGGGGGAGGGTTCTTTTACTAAAATAGAATACGGAAAAAGGGTACCCTTATTCTAACCTCTCTACTGGAGGACCTAAGCTTTAAACCAACCCCAGAGAGGATAACCTCAGAAAGGACAAGCACCATTTACGGCACAGGGTAAATACAGGGTACAGCAAGCGTTGTGTGCTTTGCCTGAACATGTCTATGTCTATGACTTGAAGAGAGCGGAGGTCAGGGTCTGCACAATTTATTAGCGAGTTCAGCGATCGCAGGGGTCAAAGGAGCTCACCTATGGTGAATGTCCCTTGCGGATTTCTTAATTCAGGTTGGTGAATATAGTTCCTTGTGCCGTTTGGGGTATCCTAATTATTGCAAAGGATGGATTGTGTCTAAGCACAAGCGCCAGGGGAGGGAGCAACCAGAGGAGAAAATTGAGCGCAAACTTTTGTGGAGGCCAAGTAAGATGCACAGATACCCTACCTTGGGCCCCTTGAGCTGGAGCATCTCGAGCCTCTCAAGTTTCATTCTACTTTCGGCGGAAGAACTTTTGGGTGTGGCTCAAGATAAAACGATCGGAGGGGGTTATTCCGCTGGTTTTGGTCCATGTTTCCAGTTACCAGGGTTATTTGGGTACCGTTTTTTTGAGCCAAAGCCATTTGCTAGAACCCCCAGAAGATGTATCGGGGATAGGGCCAACCGGGCAAAGCGGTGGCCTCTACCGTTCCTTCCAACGGATGTGTGGATCAATCGGATACCTGTAAGTGGACCGAGTTCAGACTTTTCCTTTTTCCTCCATTTTCTTACGACTATGCTTTATTGCCCCCTGTTGGTTGTAAGGGAATCTATCACTATTGGTCCTGGCAAATATGTTGTTTGTTTCCTGGGGACGTATTCGCAAATGGAGGTTGTCCTTTGTCGCCACAGGACTCCGGTTGGGCCTGAACTGTGTCTCCTTCGACGAGATGTACGCGAAAGCCTTCAACTTTGTCCTTGGGGATGTCGTGGTTGCTGGGGCCTCGACATCAAGAGCATGTTTCAGGTCATGCGCCGCTCTTGTTTGGGGGGGGGGGGCTAGGCATCCGGCCGGCAGAAAGATCCGTTTTCCATTTTCCCATGGTATCGTGTGGTTTTGGATGCTTCCATTTTAGGGGGCGGATGCTTGGCTTGCGACTTCAACTCCACTCGAAAATGACGTTTTGTGCTTGCAACAGGACTAGAAGTCTTGAATTGCCCCTCTGCCAGAGTTTGCCTTTTTATTTTCAGTCGCTTTAGCCAGAACCTTCTCGCTTGGCTCTTTTGTTGCTGGAAGTTGTGTTTCACAAACTGCTGCAATTCTTTGCCCAACAGGTGCCAGACCTTCATCCAAGTGCTGTGGGAACCCCTGCGTGCTTATTACGGGATGCAAAGTGGGCCGCGCACAACTGGCAAATCCCTAGACGTTGGTTCCAGATTCGCCTGTTTCCCTTGAGTTTTGGTTGTTTTTCTGGACAGAAGGATCAAATAATGGCGGAGTCGGCGTTCCTTGAAACGGAGCACCGCCAACGGCAAATAACGATATTATTTTAGACCGGGAACCGTTTGGCGGACATCACATACACATGTGTTTTGGTTTTGTCCACCAATCATGTTGGCGGGTGCTCCAACCATTAGATGGCCAATAATACCTATTTCCAGCATTTTGTTTGGTGCTGGACGAGTGTATACGTTCAGTTCCTAAACATCGAAAGAATCCAAGCCGGTTTCAAATCTAAACAACCCTGGAGGAAATGCAATAGTGCAAACTATGAGCCTTAGAGCCACTTTGGGGGTAGTGGCTTGACGGTACTAAGCTCACTGGAACTCCATAGTTACCCCCTAGCCGGCTATATCAGCTATGCCAGGCTATTCAAGCGTTGTGCATGGAGCCAGGTACAGGACAGCGCTGCTATCAAGTCGAAGACCCCGGAATGAACCAGGCTTCTTGCTTGGTTTACTTCCCATTTTGAGAGAATCTCGCATATCTTCCCACCTCCCACGCACGATGGTGTTTTGTTAAGGAGCACCCCCTCAGGTTCTAATTGGCTGGGAGTGGAAGTTCAAAGGCGATGGCACTGGTTTGGATTCGGCGCCATTTTTTCTTCCAAGCCACACCTACTGTGGATGGACAAAATCCTGCACCACGCTAAAAGTATGAACAGCCATTCTTTGTTGGTATTACAAGGAAACCGGATTTCGGCCATCCACACCTAGGAGGCTTACCTCTCGGATTGAGGCGGACACCATGGCGGATGGTCGGCGCGTGGCCTTTGAAGAGTCGCGGAAGTTGAAAGTCTCCTGCAAGGCGCGGACAAGCGCGGCGTTCGCAAGCCGTCGCCTCGTTTCGTGGGCTCGCTCGTTTGGGTCGTCGGTTTTTTCGCCCGGGTTTAAGGGGAAACAAAAAGGACCAGCATTTAGGGGCTTCCCCTAGTTTTGAGAAAGATAACCATTTATTCTATTTGCTGTTTAGAAGATGACAGGTCTCCCCACTCAGCAAAAGGTAAGTTACGGCAAGTTTTAACTTTTGCAACCAGGAAACTGTGGTGAAATATTCAAAAGCGAAAACACACAGTAGCACACACCGTGTTTTTTGAGTGCGGGCGGCCCTGGAGGCCCCAGTTGTTGCTGGTTTGTTAAGTGTTTTTTATCGTGTTTTTGACTCCTGAGAGAGCAGCATCGCGCGCGTGTTCCCTCGTGCTGAAGACAATGCCAGTACTTCGTTTAGTTGCAAATTCTAACTTCAGTCTTGCCCAAAGCTTTCTCTCAGATTCCTAGTGCTGAATCTAGTATTGCCAATTCCAAATTGAGTATTGCCAAACTTACGTTCAGATTCCCAGTACTTAATCTATTATGGCCAATTCTAAATGTAGTATTGTCAAGACTTGCTCGCAGGTTCCAAGTGCTTAAGTTAGTAGTGCCAATCATAAAGTGAATGTTGTGTGAATGTTGCCGAGACTTACTCTCGTATGCCAAGTACCTCATTTAGTATTGCCAAACCTAAACTGAGCATTGCCAAGGCCTTTGCAGTCAGATCCCAGTACTAATTTTAGTATTGCCAATTCCAAAATTAAAATAACCAAGCCTTACTCTTACTTTCAGATTCCCAGTACTTAATTTTGTATATATGTTCCAGGCCGTGGACCCCCCCCCCCTCCCCCCCCACCCCCCCCCCCCCTGTGGGGGTGGGGTGGGTGGTGGGGTGGTGGGGTGGTGGGGTGGTGGGGTGGTGGGGTGGTGGGGTGGTGGGGTGGTGGGGTGGTGGGGTGGTGGGGTGGTTGGGTGGTTGGGGTGTGGTTCGGAGTTGGTTTAGGCTTGGTGGGTTGGTTTGGGGTTGGTTCAGGGTTGGTTTGCGGTGGGTTTCGCGTGGGTTTGGGGTTTGGGTTGATTTAGGCTTAGGGTTGGGGTTAAGGAGGGGTTGCAGGGTGGTTTGGTTTAGGGTAGGATGTTGCGAGAGGTGCGGGGGTGTTGGTTCACGGGGTGAAAGGGGGAGTCTGGGACCGAAGCTGCAGGGCTCACACGGTACTGGACAGCATCCCCAGCATTGCCAGCATCATCCCCAAGATGCGGATGACGCGGGGGAGTGGCGGGACCATACCATTGGGGGGGGGGGGGGGTACGTGGCCCAGGGACTGGTACATATATTCAGAATTTTAGATTCAGTATTGCCAGATTCCCACCAGTGCTTATTTGATTTTTGTAAATTCTAAATCGAATATTGCAAAGGCTTACTCTCAAAGTTGCAGAATCCCAGTACTTACTTTAGTATCGCCACTTCAAAATTTAGTATTGCCACGACTTACTCAAGGATTCCCAGCGCTTGATTCAGCATTGCCAATTCTAAAGTTAGTATTTTCAACTGCAACTTGAACATTGCCAAGCATTACGCCGCCTCCGTCGGACCGTTATGCAATGCGTCGAGAGCAATCTAGGTCACTTTCAGATTCCCTGTACTGAATTTAGCTTATATTAAAAATTCTAGATTTAGTATTGCTAAGACTTCTTCTCAGATTCCCAGTGCTTAATTTAGTATTACGCAGACTTACTTTTAGTTTCCCAGTGCTAAACTTAGTATTGCCAAATCTAAATTTAGTTTTGCCAAAACTTACTCTCAGAATCCAGGTACTTAAAATTAGTTTTATCTTAGTTGAGAATTGACAAACCTTACACTGCACTCAGATTCCCAGTGCTTCATCTAGTCTTGCCAGTTTTAAATGTAGTATTGCCAAGACTTGCTCTCAGATTCCCATTACTTAATTTAATAGTGCCAACTATAAATTTAGTATTGCCAAGACTTTCCTTTTCATTCAAAGTACTTCATTTAGGAGTGCCAACTTTGAATTGAGCAGTGCCAAGACTTACACTCAGGCTCCCAGTGCTTGATTTAGTATTGCCAATTCTAAATTTAATATTGCCAGTTCCAAACTGAACATTGCCAAGCCTTACTTTCAGATTCCCTGTACTGAATTTAGTATGTGCTGACAATTCTCGATTTAGTATTGCTAAGACTTCCTCTCAGATTCGCAATGCTTAATGCAAATATTGCCAAATCTAAACTGAATATCCCAGTACTTAATTCAGTATTGCCAATTCAACATTAAGTTGACAGGACATACTCTCAGGAAGCTAGATAAGCAGATGCTTGGGAGGGAGGGAGGGAGGGAGGGAGGGAGGGAGCGTTTTGTTTCCACCTCCTTTGACATCTCAAGACAGAATTGCAGAAGATGAGGGAATCTTTGAAGCAAGTGATTGATCAAAGGTTTATGTGAAAATCCTAGTACTGCAAGGAAGCCAGAGAAGCTAGATTTGCAGATAGTTGGGGGGGGGGCAGGGGGGGGGGTCTGGGAAAGGGGGGGTTGGGGGAAAAGAACAGTTTCCCTTTCTGGTTTTTTAAAGGTGCCGGGAAGGCTGTGGGCACTTTGTCGTTGTAGCAAGCGAACCACAGTGGTAGCAGCATGTACTTTGCCTCTGATTTGAAGAAGTGCACACATGGCAGTTGTCCGTTTGGCGGTAGCTCGCATTGTTGACTGAGCGACTTGTCTATTTTACAATATTGTGATTGCTAAGCTGCAAGGCTTGACGGCTGCAAGTGAGTTGCGCCGCATGCATGCTGCTTGGCTTGAACGAGCAGCAACCGGCCGACTCATAATATTTATTAAAGCGCCTTGGTTTGTTCGGGCAATTGATGTGGAATACATTGCTGGCAGACATGCTTGCAGCGGGGGGGATGGATCACAGCCAGCGCACGATCTGCTTGACCGGGCCAGCGATTGGAGGGGGTTCCTTTCGGCGAACAAGCGATCGCCTTTGGGTTTACTTTCACTTGCCCGGAATTAGCTCCCCCTTTTTTTTGGGGGGCTTTTTTGGGGTCCCCTTTGTTTTCCACTAACCAGGCAAACAAGAATATGTTTTCTTTTTGTGCTGGGGTCCTAATTCCAGCCAAGTTCAGAGAAGCCAACTCGGAACCCAGCGTCACATGTCGACCGCCAGGTTGTGACACTCGTGGGGGAGGCGATTGCCAAGAATGGAAACCTGTCCGCCAGAGTCTCAGAGGGGCACACCTCAAACAGCGAGTGACATCAGTTTAGCATGAGTGTTTCTGAATGTTGGGGACCGCCAAAACTGATATCCTGAAGTTCTGTTGGGTTTCTCTTCAGACACCATCCAGGGGATGCCTGATTTCAAAGCGCCTTATTTGAAGCTGGTTTGCAGTAGGCTAGCTATGAAGCGGGACCTGCACATATTGTATTTGGTGTATCCGAGGGTTAGCAAGGTATGCCTGTCATTCGCAGTCGACCCACTTGCAATATGATTTGGAGAGATGCGGTCCCTTTGATCCGATATGCAAGCAACGCTATATTCAGTCTGCAAGTATGTGTATGGGTTTGCGTTTAAATAGGGGAACCTGTAGAACCCCCAAAATGGCGGTTGTTCCCGTTGTCTCCTTTAAATCCCAAAGAGGGTACCCTCAAAAAGGGGCGCCCATATTTACAATTTCTCAGTGAGCCGCATCACAGGGACAACAAGGAGAAGGATGGTAATATTGTTTCCATGATCTCCAAACTGGAACAAGCAACGCATACTGTATTGATGGCAGCTTCATTCTTAGTCGTGAAGTGGGGTGTAGGGATGTGGGTGGGTTTCCCTAGTGCCATTTTCTACTACCGCGCTCCATTGCGAATTCGCCCCAAAATCATCCCTGCATCTTTCGCTTTTTTACAAATGCGTTTCGCCAATCTATGCCCCAGTGCGCTTTCCTGTTTGTTTCCCTTTTTTCGACTTCCCCAGCGCTTGGCTGTCGTCAGGTGAACTCGGATGCTACACAAGAAGGTGCGACTCGCTTCGACCTCTCCGAGATGGAGGCACCTCAACCCAAAGAAACAGGTCAAGTCTAAGATGGATTCAAACAAAAAGCCGATTCAAAGATGGCGTCTAAATGAAAGTACAAGCCACTTCCCCGCAGGAGCACCGCGGGGCAAACAACCGCTGCACAGCTTTGTTGTGAGGGGTGGTACCATTGAAACACAGGTGATGCTTGCAATTTGGTGCACAGTCCCGGTTTTGCTTTGACCACCTAGGGTGGTAGTTTTTCTTGTGCTACGGCAAAAGGGAATCCTTTAGGGTTGACCATTGTCGGTGCGGCACTCCACAAAGCCTAATCCTGGTGTGTTGCTTACAAACCACTCACACCAATGGGTTCACTACTGGAATACAGGACCACCTCTGGGTTCAAGCGCTTTTGGGTTAGGACGATGAAAGCAACAATCAGTTTACAGCGGTCGTACAGTAGCAGCCAGGTATCCAAATGCTTGTGCACAGGTGTTTGTTTTATGGTGCACGAGTTTCTCCTGGCAAGAGATATTCCTCACAACTTGGGACTATTTGCTGAAGACTGGGAACGTGGGCTCCTTGAAGAAAACACACACGAGAACTGTTGGCCTCCCTTTGTGTATGCACCAAAACCACGAGAGCCGTTCATCTTGGCCAGGCCACCAAGGCGCGCTTGGATACGCTGGACCGGCGGCTGTATGCGTCAGGCTCTCAGCTGCACCAGGGCTCCCATAGGTGCGGGGATGCTTTCTTCCAGAGCAAGCTATGGCTCATGTGGGAGGGGCAGATGCGGGAATTCACTTAATTGACCAAGAAACGCCGTGGGGAGCCCCTAAACGTCCCATGTCCTTCTTGGTGAAACAAGTAGCTTTGGCTGTGGCTCATGGGTTTGTGGCGCGGCACCCCTGAAATTGTGGGGTCCATGTAGTTCCTCATGCAGAAGATGCCAAAAATGGTGCGCTCACAACTCGACACACCCATGTGGGTGTTTGTTTTGTTGGAGGGTTCCCAATTGGGGTCAGATAAAAGGGAAACCAGAAAGACACCAACCATTTTGTGGGTTCCCCTTGACAAAACCCATTCCTTCGGGGATCAATCCTGGCAGTTTCACTGTCCTTGGCGGCGCTTTCAATTCTGAACCCCCTCCTCTATTTGCATGAGAAACCGGTGGTTTCAAAGTCCAATAGAATCTATGTCCATTCCTACTAGCAGGTTTTCGACCTTTTCCGATTGACTTAGGGGATAGACACCCTCCGGTGGTCTCGCAACCATGGCACATACAGAGGTGGCTCTGTTGCATGATCCATCATAGGGCGGTATGTCAAAACTAGATGCCCGTTGAGCCCGGGGAAGGTTGCTACAGGAAGCCTACAGGAAACTGGGGGTCATTTTAAGGGTTCCGCGTTTTGAGACCCCATATTTGTTCTGAATCGACATTCCTTGGCTCATGCTGTGTTCCGCTGAAAACTGAGAACTAGGCTTGGGAGGACCTTAGCCCTTGTTCATGGCCATGAAGAATAGATAATGTCCAGGACATGTCCAGGACATGTCAAGGGCTACGATCAAGAGTGGTTTGCCTTTGATTTGCGCTGTAAAGCCAAACCAAAAGGCACTCTAAACCTCACGAGTGAGGCTGTGAGTTGAAAGGTGCGCACATAGGGAGCATGGCAAGGCGAGCAAGGCCAATAGTTTAGCAACTGAGCATGCCTCTCAGTCTCAAACAAGTTCAGAAGCTCAGCACGCCGGAAGCTCTCGTTTCGAAACTCGCAACTTACGTTTCGGGCATACGTTCGAAACGTTTTGCGTTTCGGGTGTGCTATGTTCAGAAGGTATTATCTTAGGCACTACCAAACCTTACCAACCATTCAGCAGTTTATCTCATGCTTGTGCCTTGTAAACTCAGACATTGTTGCCTTTCAAGGCCGGTGGTTCAGCCTTAGGTGGTTTGATTCCATACTTAGGTGGTTCAGCCTTAGGTGGTTCAGCCTTCTCCCATCCGCAGCATCCCTTTCGGAGGATCCACTCTCTGGAT